ATTGGGATAATAATCTAGCATGGCTTTCTTTTTTTTCTTTTTGGTTTGGAAAATTTTCAGTCCTGTCTGTTTTTATTTTTCCAGATTATGTTTTTTATTTTCTTATTTTGCATTCCGGGTTCAGTTACGAGCTCTTCCTCTTATTTGAGTAACCTTTTATCTCTCATTTTACCTAGCCTCAGTTTCCCAAAATAAAAAGTAAAATATTTCCTCATAGGTTATAAATAACAGATCCAGTTCCTGTCACTCAGAAAATGTGTGATAAGTGTTAGTGTCCGTACTTCTGGTCTTACTTGCATGCGTATGGGCTAAGTCACTTCATTTGTGTCTGATTCTGTGGACTGTAGCCCACAGACTCCTCTGTCCATGGGATTCTCCAGGCAAGAATGCTGGAGTGGGTTGCCATTTCCTCCTTCAGGGAATCTTCCCAACCCAGCGATCCAACCCTAGTCTCTTATTATGTCTCTGGAATTGGCAAGCAGGTTCTTTACCACTAGCGCCACCTGGGAAATCCTTGGTATTATTACTCCTCAGACAAGTGAGTGAGAACTGCCCCACTTTTTTGAAATTAAGGTGGAGATAAATCCTCTAAGAAGCTTGGAAAAGTCTAGGAAATGTGGGAAAACAGAACAGAGCCTCCCAGGGATGGAGCTGCAGGTCAGAACCCAAGGCTAGATATGACATGTTGTTGACTGAAGCTGGGTTCAAGGTGAGGATTATAGAATCGAGAGGAACGAGTAGTTTGCCTGAGGATGGAGATGAGAAATGAAGAGTGATCTGGGCCCTCAGACAGGCAGCATCAAGGACCCAGCCAGCACCACGTGTGCTGGAAGGGCTCCTCCTATGGGCATGAGTGTCTTAGGTGGGCTGGGAAAGCCCAGACTCTTGGGACTCCAGGCAGAGGGCTTCTCCTTGGCTTGCCTGGCTGCCTTTAGTTATTTAGAGGAAATGCTGACTTCCAGGACCTTGAAAATGCCCCACTGCCCTTTGGCAAGGGCAGAGCAGGTGCTAGACAGGTAAGACTGAGGCTGTGTTTTGCTGGAATCTGGAGAGGGGCTGGGTCTTCACGTATGACCGTAATCTGGCCATAGGTGAGGTATGATCATCTTGGCACTGTGACCACAGCATCTGGACTGAAGCTCTAAGGAAAGAAAGATTCTTAATTCCTCCCCTCTCTGAGCCAGAGGGTGGAAGCTGCCTAGGGGTGGGGTGTTTCAGTGAGCTCATTTTCTGCTCCAGATTGAGAGGGTCATTAGTGGCAATGCTCAGGGGAGTGAAAGGTCTAGAGAGGTAAGGAGGCTCACACATGTCTGGCAAAAGCTGTACTGGAGGGATTTCCTGCTTTGGGGTGGAGGCTGGGCCCCTTCCTGCTGTAGAATCTCTTCATAGATGCCCCCCTCCCATGATGGCTGGGAAAGAGATAAGGTGTAGTTTTGCCTAGCCGCTGAGAGCTCTGGGGAGTGGGGGCTGTGGGAGAGCAGTTATCTGAAACCACAAACCTCAAGAGCAAGCAGAGAGCTGATGTCAGCTCTATCAGGGAGTGCCAGAAACACACTAAAAGCCAGGACTCCTGGTGAAGAAAACCAGGAGAGTGCACGCCCTAGAAAATAGCTAGGATACAGGCTGTCAACAGAACCTGACCACCTGCCCTTGACTTTTGCATGAAGCAGGGAGTGTGGGAGGGCTGGCTGGGTTTTAAGGGCTCGGGCGGTGACTGCCATAGTGGTTGATTCTGACTTTTTTGGGGGGTTCCTACAGTTAGATCCAAAAACAATGCCAGAGTGTTTCAGAAATGCCTTACACACAGACAATGGCATTTGAATAGTGACTTTCAAAGACCAATTCTTAGAGAATAACTTTTTGTAGGTGTTTACATTACAAAAATCAGTGTCAATTTCAATAAGATGATTTTGCAGTCAGTTGCATTTCTGTCTACAGTGACAACAAAAAACAGTAGTGACAACTGATTTATGTTTAATATTTGGGAAATGAAAGAGAACTGTGAAAAGAAAGATTTTAATTCTCAGTAAGAAAAATAGAATAAGACTTGAATAAATGAAGAGGTATTTTCTGTCCTAGAATCAGAAGATTTAAAATAGTAAGATGATGTAATATCTAATCTAATGTATGGAGTTAACACAAATTAGATTCCATATGATATTTTGTGGAAATTGACAAAACAATAATACAATTTCTATAGAGAAAATAATGGTTAAGCACATTAAGGAAATTTTTGAGAAGAAATGAACCAATAATAGAATAAATTATTCTGTTAATATTTAAAATGTGGTACGAAGGACATTTATATTGTATGGTATCAGATGCAAAGCAGAATAGTAGATTGATAAAAACATAAGGATTCCCTGCATTCTAAATTTGCTAAAGAGTTAACAAACAATCATTCTGGACAACAAAATAGTAAGAAAGGAATCCTATTTAATAGATGTTACTGAGCAAAGATATAAAGCACTTCTGTCTTCCTCTGATGCTTGTTGTCAAAATGAGCTCCAGATATTTAAAAGTTGAAAATATCTCTTTTAAAAGTGAAACAAGCACTGTTTATAATAGCCAGGACATGGAAGCAACCTAGATGCCCATCAGCAGATGAATGGATGAGGAAGCTGTGGTACATATATGGTACATATACACCATGGAATATTACTCAGCCATTAAAAAGAATTCATTTGAATCAGTTCTAATGAGATGGATGAAACTGGAGCCCATTATACAGAGCGAAGTACGCCAGAAAGATAAAGACCATTACAGTATACTAACACATATATATGGAATTTAGAAAGATGGTAACGATAACCCTATATGCAAAACAGAAAAAGAGACTCCGATGTATAGAACAGACTTGTGGACTCTGGGAGAAGGCGAGGGTGGGATGTTTCAAGAGAACAGCATCGAAACACGTATATTATCTAGGGTGAAACAGATCACCAGCCCAGGTTGGGTGCATGAGACAAGTGCTCGGGCCTGGTGCACTGTGAAGACCCAGAGGGATTGGGTGGAGAGGGAGGTGGGAGGGGGGGACCGGGATGGGGAATACATGTAAATCCATGGCTAATTCATTTCAATGTATGGCAAAAACCACTGCAATGATGTAAAGTAATTAGCCTCCAACTAATAAAAATAAATGGAAAAAAAATAAAAAAATAAAAAAGTAAAAAAATAAAAAAAAAAGAAAAGAAAAAAAAATAATAAAAGTGAAACAAAATGATATATTATAGTTATCCAGCTGTGGTGGAGGAATTAATTTCTTGAGTATTAAAACAGTGGGCTAAATTACAAGTGGTGAATTGGAAGGATCTGATTGTATAAAAATTGAGCAACAGCAAGCTTAATAAGTTCTTGATAAAAGGGAAAAGTGCAAAACTATTTGAAATAAACAAGGCTGGTAAAGATTAGTATTAAAGATATAAAGAACAATTATGAATCTATAGATAAACTGTTAAAAGATATGAACAAATAGTATAAGAGGAAATACGAGCATCAAACCTACGTTCGGAATATTTCAGTCTTGCTAATAATTAAAGTGCAAATTAAAAGTATGAATCTATTTCTTAGTTAAGTAGCAAAAGTGGTAAAACTGTATGTTCATGTGCTTGGAGGGAAATAGACACACTCTCTAGATTTACGAGTATGTTTTCTGCAGAGCAGGAGATGAAAAATGAAACACTCACCACTTAGGCAATATTCTCAAATAAATCTCAAGAAAATAATGTGAAAGAGGAAAGGCTTATAAAGGTTATATAGTGAAATTCTGGCCATTACCTAACCACCTGACAATTTGTTAATGGTTGTACAAACTGGAAAATATTAACATCCCATCACATTAGCAACTGTTAAAACCATAAACCTGAGGATGTTGGTGATATTATAGAGAATGTATGTATATAAGTTAAGAAGTAGAAGACATTTGTTAGGTGAACATTGGTAATTGTCAAATTATGTTTGTCTAATGAAAACATCAGTGCTGTCAGCATCTCAGTGCTAGGTCTAATAAGTCAGTGCTTGTAGGATGTCAGTGTGATTATAATTTGGGGGTCTTGTTGAAAGGCAGATTTTGATTTACACAAACTGGGGTGGAGCCTGGGATATTCTAAATTTATGATAATGGTAAAGTTACTCCTCTCACCTCAATTTTAAGAGCAAATGCTTAAATCTCTGCCATGCAGTCTCATGGACACTAGCCATATGAGGCTATTCAAATTTAGATTAATTGAAATAAAATGGAAAATTTAGTTTCCTAAGTCTTATTACCTATATTTCAAGTGCGCATTAGTCATGTATGGCTTACGTCTCAGAAAGCTCAGATTATAGAACAAGTCCATCATCACAGAAAATTTTGTCAGACCTAAATCATCAGTCTTAAAGTGAAGGGGATTTTTATCACTTTTTTGGTAAAGTTGTTTGAAATATGCGATTACAAGCTTGTTCCATTCCTTTGTAGTCATAAACCACATAGGTATACATTCGTAGAAGTGATGAAGCAAGGGACAGTTTTATCTAGTTTGATCAATGAAATTCTTTTATCCCATTGATTTTATTGTCATTCCATAGATGTGTTATCCTAATTATTATTTGCCTCTCAATGGGCAATCATTTCCACTAAATTGGTTTCAGTTTCTTTGCTATTTTTTCCTCGTCTTACATAATTAACATATACTAGAGGAGATATTTAAAGAAGGATTGCAATAAATTAAAGTATAATTTAATTATGTATGTTGTTAATCAGCTATACCCCAATACAAAATAAAAAGTAAAAAAAAAAAGAATACATGTGTATAATTTATGAAGAGATCCTCACATTCTCTTTTCCTATCTAGGTGTCTCATCAATTTATATTTTTAAAGTGTATTTTTGAAGCTGGACCAACCTTGTGTTCGTTACCCAAGGATGTGGGCATTGATTTTCATTTGAAAGGTTTCCTGGATGGTTGCTTTTTCTTTATTTTCTGTGAAGTGGAAACGCTGACCATTGTTATTTTCTTCCAGGAATTTATGCAAATATTCTCACGAGGTTCTCTCAGAAGATAACTTCAGGGTCCTGACAAACCATGGGCTCTCTGGACTGAACCAAGAGGAATTAGCTGTGCTCCTTCTCCAGAGTGACCCTTTTTTTATGCCCGAGGTAAGTTCTGATTCCTCAGTTTGAAAAGCAAGGAGAATGCCTCTGGCAGTGTGGTGTCATGTGTGTGTTGGAATGGGAGCAGAGAAAACCCAGCACCGGGGCTCTGCAGGTGGCAGTCAGCAGGTGGCTGTTGCTAAGTGATCTGGAGATTCCAACAGTTTCCTTCTTATTTGAAGTTTAATAAGTATTTGAGTCTGGAATGCCTCCTCCCCTGGACTGCTTGGGAACCCTGTGTGAGCAGTGTGATCTGAAGAACTAGCAATAAGGCCTTGGTGGGCTTTGAAGCAAGGTTTTGGAAGATGACAGGGTATATTGCTTGAGGCTAAGTTGTAGCAAAGAGATCTCAAAATGCAGGGATTCAAATAAAATATTACTGTTTCTCCATCTCTTGGTAGTCTAGATCTGAGGTCACTATAGTCCATGGACCACATCCCACCTGCCGCCTGTTTTTGTAGTTTAATTGGAACACAGCCACACTCATTCATTTGTATATTGTCTATGGCAACTTTCTCATACAAGAGTGAGTTGAGTGTTCACAACAGAGATCGATGGCCTGCCAAGCCTAAAATATTTACTATTTGATCATTTATGCTAATAGTTTGCTGACTTTTGGTCTTGCCTAGAGGTAGGCAGGCAGGTAGTCTGATGGTCAGGCAGCTGAATTCCATGATGTCATGTAGGCACTCAGGCCTGCAGGTCAGCCTTGTTATCTTATATATAATAGATCTGTTTTATTACTGGACCAGTAGATATCTCTGTTCTCTTTTAACATATGGCTTCCTCCTCACGGTACAAAGAGGCTCTTTTCAGCATTATCATTTTTCTAGCCAACAGGAACGTAGAGAAGGAGTAAGTAAAAGACAAGCTGCTTCCTTTTTAAAAAGATGTGACTTGGATATTGTATCTCATTCATTGTATGCTCCATCTCATTCACCAGAACTTATCACGTGACTGCACTTAGGGAGAAGGCAGCCTGGGAAATGTAGTTTTCTGGCTGGGTAACTACATGTCCAGCTAAAACTTGGAAGCTTCTATTATTAAAAGAAGGATAAGAATGATCTCAGATAATTAACAGTCTCATCCATATAGGAATATTGACTTGAAAATCAGAGGATGCTGCTTAAAAAATGGTATCTGAGAATGATCTGAGAAAAATCCTTGGGTAAAGAAGTTAGCCTCACACTGGAAGAGAGGCCCAGAAATGTAATGGAAGCCTCAAGTTGAGAGGGTGGAAGGGACTGAGATAAGATAACAAGGTTGAAATTTGGTCGTGCTTTTATGTATGACAAGATAGCTATTAGGGACATCTGGAGGGTTAAACATCTTTTGACTCTAAGTTCAGTGTGTTTCCCTGAGGACTTAGGAAAACTTAGGACACGTGGGTTGATTTTGCGTTGATTACTGAGCTCAGGCAAGATAGGAATGCAAGACACTCTGTAAAAATGTCTTCAGAGAGGAAGGGTGGGGAAGGAATATTTAACTATATATAACTCACTTCCCCAGGCATTCTTTCATTTATGTACTTGAGTTTCTCTCTCTCTTTCTCTCTCTGTTTCCAGGAACCCAAGGTTCAGAGGTCTTATCTTAGGATCTCTGTGGCCCTTGGCCTATGTGCCAGCCAGCCCAGTCCCTCCTGGCTACCAGTATAGGGAAAATGCCTTACACCCTAACTCTTTAAGGGTCCCATTGACTAACAGAGGCACCCTCTCCTTTCCCTCTCATGTGAAAGAATGACGACAGCTTGTCATGACTCTTGAGAGAGTGTTGCCCGGGGTCCAACCTGGTGTTAAACTTGCAGGGTTGGAAACGTCACTCACCAGGTCAGCTCTCTGCTGCTGCTCTCCAAATCACCAAGGACTTGCTATATCGTGTCCCTGGAGAATAAGAGGAGTGGCGGCTCTTCCTTTCTTTAGGAAAGAACCTACTGGATGGTGCTGTTGCTGACTTAGCCCAGTAAAAGTCCATTGACAAAAGCCCTGGGAGGCTTTTCGTAGGAGGATGCTGACCTTAATCACACAGAGAGTCTAAAGTGTCACCTGAGGCTCCCTTACAGTACCCATGGATTTTAAGAATTTGGTACCTGTGATTAGAGGGTAAGGTGGAACGGTTTGTGCTTGAAGTTTATTTTTAGCTGATAACTTAATTGCCTTTTACCACATGTAGGGGTAGGATCACAGACTAGCAGACTGCACTGCTTCCTGGGACCAGAGGTCTGAGAAGCTGGTTCCTGTGATGGGAAATCAACTAGAGCATCAATGACATAAGTCTCTATTTGACCATTCTGGGCAAGAGTTGTCTCTAAAGGAGTGTCTTAACTTGAGGGGAGGAGGGTGGAGTATTTTCAAGGTTTTAGCAGGGGAGGGGAGTGGTCAGCCAGAGTTCAGCTAGTTCCAAGGATAGTTGATCAAGGATGGTCCCTCCGTGTCTCTAAGTTCTTCTGTCTTTGCCACCAACTACCTATGTGATCTTGGACAAGGCATTTCATCTTTCAGGGTCTCACTTTACTTACTGTTTGCTTTGCAGTCATTCAGCTAACACTCAGGAGTGCCTGCAAGGGTAGCACTGAGTTAAATCCTGAAGCCAACGGTGGGCAAGGCACACGCCTGCCCTCAAATACCGAACACGTTCACACTTTTCCACTTTGCCTTAACCTGTGAGAGCATAAAAGCATGAACTTCCTGGTATATAAACATGGATAATTGAAGTTCACTTATTAAAAGGGAGAAATGGGTCTCATTTGTTCTGGCAGGAGCAGTCTTTCTTAAACATCAGAATAGTACTAGGAATGTTAACTGAAATATCATCTGTGAAGTTGCTAATAATCCTTGTTTTACTTGAGCCTCAAGAATTCTGGGTCTCAAGCTTTAGTGTGGGTCAGAATCACCAGGAGTGATTGTAAAACCCATATTGCTGGGCTCCTCCTCTGGTCATTCTGACTGTAGATACAGGGAAGGGCCCAAGGATTTGTATTTCTAGTTAGTTTTCGGTTGGAGCAGATGCTGTTGGTCCAGGGACCACACTTTGGGAACTGTTGGCCAGGAGTCTTGATTCTGACTCATAGACTCTATCACAATGATATGTATTTGCGTCAGGTTTAGAAGTTGTTTGTATGGCTCAATCATGGTTAATCCTTGTCTTTTCCACCTCAATACATCACAGAGGCCCATGTTGATCTGGTTTGCTCAGAGTCTGTTGAAACAACTTACAAACACTTTCGTGTTTAAGCCTCTTTGCGTAATGATTCAAACATTTGCATCACATTTTGTATTGTGCACATTATGTATTTTATTATTTAACCTGCTCCACAACATAGTTAGGTGAGGGGAGCAAATATTTTTGTCTTTTACAGCAAGGGCAAGAGGCTGGGAGTAAGTAACTCAGATGTGAAGTCACGTATAGCTGCTTCTAGCTGCAGACTTCAACCAACATCCCCTAGTCTTGTATCACAGGGTCTGGCCTCCCTGACGATGCTTCTCCTGCTCTCCTTTCAGTAAGAATTACATCTCCGTAGAGCTAGATATGTAGATACACCTGTTTACATATAAAAATGATTAACTATCAGTTGGTCTTTTGAGAAACTGCCACATTCTGCCTAGCTCCCAGCAACCGAAGGTAAGACCTCACATCGTTTTTTTTTTTCCTTTTTGACTGCACCACGTGGCACGCAGGATAACCCGTGCCCCCTGCAGTGTTCTTCTAATTGAAGACGGTCTTTTAATTGAAGATGTGTTGATATCCAAAGGTGGGCCTTCCTCTTTGGGATTCCTTTATATGTAGGGCTCCCTTTGTGTCCTGTTTTGTTCTATCTATAGCTGGCCGTCTTATATTGATTCTTCCCAAAGAAGTTAATAAAAGTCAAGTTTCTTTTAGTTAGTTTGTAGGCCTCTTCTACCCCCAATAAGTCACTCACTGATCGAACATAACTCAACAAAGATTATAGAGTCATACACATACATTTTTTTCCTGAGATATATCTCTGCTTGTGCTCACATGCTCAGTTGTGTCTGACCCCATGGACTGTATCCCACCAGGCTCCTCTGGCCATGGGATTTCCCAGGCAAGAATACTGCAGTGGGTTGCCATTTCCTTCTCCAAGGGATCTTCCTGACACAGGGATTGAACCTGCATCTCCTGCAGCTCCTGCATTACAGGCAGATTCTTTGCCTGCTTAGTCATCAGGGAAGTTTATATCTTTGCTTCTTTTTTTTTTTTCCTTTCAGGAAATAAGAAAATATGCATTTTTTTCTTACCAGGAAGTAAAAAAATGCATTTTTATTTATTTAATCAATATTTACTGGAGTAGAGTTGATGTACAATGTTGTGTTAGTTTCAGGTGTACTGCAGAGTGAATCAGTTATACCTTTACACAGATCCAAACCGTCCATCCTAAAGGAAATCAGTCCTGAATGTTCATTGGAAGGACTGATGTTGAAGCTGAAACTCCAATATTTTGGCCACCTGATGCGAAGAACTGACTCATTTGAAAAGACCCTGATGCTGGGAAAGATTGAAGGCAGGAGGAGAAGGGGACGACAGAGGATGAGATGGTTGGATGGCATCACTGATTCAGTGGACATGAGTTTGAATAAACTCTGGGAGTTGGTGATGGACAGGGAGGCCTGGCGTGCTGTGGTCCATAGGGTTGCGAAGAGTCGGACACGACTGATCAACTGAACTGAACTGAACTGATACATAGATCCATTCTTTTTTAGATTCTGTTCCCATATAGATCATTATATTTACACGAACTTTCCTTAACATGTGGCATATAGAGAAACATGTTTTCTTTCTGGCTCTTGTTTCTTTCTTCTGTAGATATGCAAGAATTATAAGGGCGAGGGTGGAAGACAGGTTTGTAACCAGCAGCCCCCGTGTGAAAGACTCCACGTCTGTGAACACTTTACCCGAGGGAACTGTGGTTATGCCAACTGCTTCCGGTCCCATAACCTGATGGACAGAAAGGTGCTGGCCGTCATGAGGGAGCATGGCCTGAGCTCAAGCGTGGTACAGAACATCCAAGACATCTGCAATAGCAGGCACCGCCGGAAGAAGCCCTCAGCGTGGAGAGGTAAGCTTGGGGGCCTTCTTAACAGGATAAACGGAAATAAACAGAAATCACAAGGAGAGGGAATCTCTACTTATACTCACTCTACCTCATCATGTAAAACTACTTTCCCTTTCAGACCTTGTCAATACGCATACACAATTTTTACATAATTATGATCATAGTATATGTGTGATTTTGCAATTTGATTTCATGCTATTCCATGCATCCACACCACACAGACACACTTCACACTCGGGCACGTTGCCAACATATGCACCTCTCACTAAGGGACATGTGTCACACACCATATGTGCAAACCTCACGTACACACACATACACCCCTCACATATCCACTATGTAAGCATATCACACACACATGCACACACTTCATATAAACATATATGAACCCCACATATAAACATCACATACAAGCACACCACACTTTTTGTACACACGAACACATGCTCCCTCCATCCCTTCTCTCTGCTTCCTGGGGCTGTGACTTAACATGTTTCTAGAAAGAGGTCAATTTTTTTTTTTTAAATTTTGGATATCGTTGACTTAAGCTTGGGCATTTGGGGGCCAGATGAACAACTCTGGATAATTCCAAGCTTCAGTGAAATCAGACCTTTCCTTATTTTCTTTTTTTGTTGTTGTTTTAAGTATTGTGACTTCTTAGCTTAGGTACACCTGTGTCACAATATGGGTGAACTCTAAGTGATTTGGGGCACTCATCTCTGATGAGTCCTTGTCTGTCTCTCCAGACTTGAACTTGAAGTCTGTCTCTCTGGGACTTGAACTTGAGGACTGTGGACAGCCTCACCTAAGACAGCGGGCATTTAGGAGCTGCATCTAAGTCCCCTGAGAGAAGCCAAGAAGAGCCAGGGTTGGCTCAACCTTTATCCTAGGCCAAAGGTGGTGTTTTCTGCTGGGCTGGCAGGAAAGGGGGATTCTTCCATTGTCATAACAACCTTGTCAAGATTTTCACACAAATTAATTTTTTTAAACTTTTTATTTGATTTTGGAAAATAGTCAGTTAACAATGTTGTGATAGTTTTAGGTGCACAGCGGAGGGACTCAGCCTTATATATACATGTACCCATTCTCCCCCAGACTCCCCTCCCATCCAGGCTGCCGTGTACCATTGAGCACAGTTCCCTGTGCTGTACTTGTTCCTTGTTGGTTATCCACTTTAAATACAGCAGTGTGTGTATGTTGATCCCAAATTCCCTAACCATCCCTTCCCTCCATGCTTCCCCCGCTGGTAATCATAAGTTCCTTCTCTAAGTCTATGAGTCTTTTTTTGTTTTGTGAATAAGTTCATTTGTATCATTTCTTTTAAGATTACCCATGGAAGGCATGTCATAGGATATTTCTCATCTATTTGACTTATTTTACTCTAGTATGAAGTAGTATGACACTCTAGGTCCATCTGTGTTGCTGCAAATGGCACTATTCATTCTTTTCTAATGGCTGAGTAGTATTCCATTGTATATATGTACCACATCTTCTTTATTCATTCCTCTGTCAATGGACATTTAGGTTGCCTCCATGTCTTGGCTGGGCTTCCCTGGTAGCTCAGCGGGTAAAGAATCCGCCTGCAATGCAGGAGACACTGGTCCGATTTCTGGGTCGGGACGATCCCCTGGAGGAGGAAATGGCAACCCACTCCAGTATCCTTGCCTGGAGAATTCCCATGGAGAGCAGCCTGGTGGGCTACAGTCCATGAGGTTGCAAAGAGTCAGACATGGCTAAGCAACTAATCACGGCACAGCACGTGTCTTGGCTGTTGCAAGCAGTGGCAGCGTTTGACTCTGCAGGATTGCTGAATGATAGTGCCAGGTTAATTCACCGCTTCTCCAGCGTGAAAGTTTAGGGCTCGGAGGTAGAAAGAGTGAGATCCCTAAGAGTGGTCATGGGGACTTCCTGAAAAGAGTCTTAGACCTCCAAATATACTTACTCACGAAAACGTCTGAACCTCTTTTGCCCGCTGATGAAGTCCCTCCTTTTCTTCTCTCCTGCTGATGCTGTTTCTGCTTTACCCCACTCTCATTTCACCCGGCCCCTCTGAGTCCGAACGGGAGGCGGGTAGAAAGTTAGTGACATTAAAGCTAACTTTTGTTGTTTGGTTTTTCTTTCCCAGCTCCTCCTCCCCATCGTAGAGACCCGGCCTACAGAGGGAGGAGTAGGAGCAGAGACCGGGGCAGCGAGGAATTTCATCCAGCAGCTTCAGCTCCTGCCCAGAGGTCCTGCCCACCCAGCCCAAAGCCTGCCGGCCACCGCGGCTCTATCCCGAGTGATGGGCCTGTCGAGGATCTTGCCCACAAATTCTCACATCTGGGAAGTCAGGAGTGCCCCCCACCTGCCTCTGTCCCGTCTGCAGCTGCCAGTCTTGGAGGAACCAGTCAAGGAGGAGGAAGCCAGAGTCTTGCAGAGAACGGCAGTGCAAAGGATCTTCTCTATGGGAATCACAGCCATGGTTTCTTCAATATTGATGTGAAACCAGCCTTCAAATGGGGGCTCCCTGCATCCTGGCAGAATGACCAGGACACCGGTAAAAAGAGTTGGATTTCCCCCAGTCCAGCCTTCTCCTTCTCTCCTGGTTCTCTGCAAACACCTGAAACCATCACCACCAGAAAGAGCACTGCTGTCCTTTCCTCGGACCATGTGAACGCGGAGCGCAGAAGTGGGAATCAAGATGGCCAGCATTTCCCACTTTTTAATAATAACACTGATGGCATGGCCGTAGATACCACTTCCACGAGACTGGCGAACTACCAAACCCCAAGCAGTAGACAGAGAGAAAAATCGTTACCTGGGAATCCGGACACTGGAACACCTCGGAGTCATCTGCCCACCGCTGGCAAGATGACTGGGGATGCAGCCGCAGCCTTTGTTAATGGTAAACACACAGAAGAGACCTTCTGGGCTAGTCAGTCTGTCCACAGCGCCACTAGAAGGATGGATTAAGTGATGGATAAAACTACTGTTGTAGGTAAAACTGGTGCCACTGGGTTTGGCTTCATGGCAGCAGTCAAAGGGAAGAAAGATGTGTTACACTCTGGAATTCGGGGGTTAACAAGCAGGTCCTGCCCACACGTGGGGAACCCTCTGCCCCCGCACAAGGCAGCACTTGCTCTCCACAAGGTCCCTTCTTTTTCTTTTCTATAAACAAAATATTTTATACAAGGATGTTAGAATGTTATTATTAATTGATATTAATGTAAGTAAAGACACTGCAGTTAACATAAAGAAATGTACAATGAACATTTCATTTATATTCTTTAACAATTTTCTATATTTAATTTGTTCATAGTTAAGATGATATTGCACAAGCAATTTTTTATGGTACATAAAGTTTTTACTAATTTGTAATTTAACATGTCTCACCTTGATACAAGGATTCATAAACATCATTTTTACCAAGGTCCTTTCTTTTACACCTTCCTTAAGCAACAGGGCTGCAACCTAGGGGACCCATGGTCAGAACTCTGCTCAAATCCTTGTTACCCCCTCCAGTGAGATGACAAGGGGGGCTCCAGGCTGGGTTCTGTGTGATCAGTGAGGGACAAAGAGGGTCTGCATAGAGTGGCCACGGCTGGTGGTTTCTCTTTGGGTGTTCCTTAACAGTACTAAACGGTTTTGGCTAAGGAGTGGTACTGATGAGGACATATGAAGACAGAAGGACCAACCCTAGAACTGTATGGAGTAAGTTGCTCCATTTATTGAGAACAGGAATAGTTCAGCCATGGTTTAAGAAAGCAGCGTGACACTAGGGAACCCTGACTTCATGTTTGTTTTCATGTCTGGGCTCTCATGAGCAATACATGAATCGTAAGAATTTTCTTGAACCTGGCCCCCATTTCAGATATTCTTTCCCACTGTTAGACCAGGTATCTTTTTTTTTTGGTTTAAATGTTACAATTCGCTTACATGCATCCTCTTCTGTTTTGTAGATTCTGTACCTGACGTTGCGAGTCCCACATCTTCCACGATGAATGAACACAGCTCAAACGAAATTTGTCTTGACCATCTGTATAAGGGTTGTCAACTTAGTGAGTAACTACCTTAAGGACTTTCTAGAAGCAGAAACATTATTAATAGTAGTATGGCTAGCATTTATTGAATGTTTACTATGTGTTGAGTGCAGTGCTGAGAATCTTACATGCATCTTCTTTAACCTTCAAGTCAACTTTAGGTTCTTTTGTTAATTCATTTTACAGATGCACAAATAGAAATTGGGTTTTCACCCCAAACCACTTGACCACTGCATGATATTATACTTTCTCCTTTTACAGTTCAGTTTTAGGTGAACTCTTACACTTAATCAGGGACCCCTCTTTTTACATACTAAAACCAAACAGCAGTAACAGTTGTTGTTTAGTCACTAAGACGTGTCCAACTCTTCTACCCCAGGGGCTGCAGCAGCCAGGCTTCCCTGACATCTGTTTACTGTTCTCCCTCACCAAGCCTCCTGTAGAACTGTTTCCCACAGGACTGCTTGGGACACAACACCTCCCTGTCACTCTTGCACCACCCTGTTCCTTTCATGTCGCTGCCCCAGGCCTACGTGTCATGTCTGATTCATTTATTTGACCACTTAGTGGTCTTAGAGTCATTCGCCTTGTGTCTGAGGAGCGGATTCTGCCCTGTGTTCTCTAAATAAAAACTCTTTAACTTCAACAAAATTTATTTTTAACTAAGGTAAAACACATAACATAGATTTTACCATCTTAACCATTTTAAGTATACTGCTCTGTACTGTTGATTACATCATTCATATTGTTGTGCAACTAGTCTCCAGAATTCTTTTCGCCTTTTGAAACTGAAACTCTGTACCTCAGTTCAGTCCCTCAGTCATGCCTGACTCTCTGCGACCCCATGGACTGTAGCACGCCAGGCTTTCCTGCCCATCACCAACTCCCAGAGCTTGCTCAAACTCATGTCCATTGAGTTGGTGATGCCATCCAACCATCTCATCCTCTGACGTCCCCTTCTCCTCCCACCTTCAATCTTTCCCAGCATCAGTTCAGTTCAGTCACTCATTCATGTCCGACCCTCTGCAACCCTGTGGACTGCAGCATGCTAGGCTTCCCTGTCCATCACCAACTCCCAGAACTTGCTCAAACTCACGTCCATTGAGTCGGTGATGCCATCCAACCATCTCATCCTCTGACGTCCCTTTCTCCTCCTGCCTTCCATCTTTCCCAGCATCAGGGTCTTTTCAAGTGAGTCACTTCTTCGCATTGGGTGACCAAAGTATTGGAGTTTCAGCTTCAACATCAATCCTTCCAATGGATATTCAGTACTGATTTCCTTGAAAACAACTCTGTACCTATTAAACAACAACTCCTCATTTCCCCCTTCTGGCAGGGAAGCCCCTGACGACTGCCATTTTGCTTTCGGTCTACGAATATGACTTCTATGTCCCTCATATGAGCGATCTCACACGATATTTGTCCTTTTTCTGACACTGGCTTATTTTACTTAGTACAATATCCTCAAGGTTCAGCCATATTATAAGCTTGTGAGAATTTCCTCCCTCATGAAGGTTGAACACTATTCGATTGTATTCTATCCCATTTTGTTTATCCACTCATCCTTCGATGGGCACTTGAGTTGCTTCTACCTCTTAGCTATTGTGTATAAGGCTGCTAGGAACACAGGTGTACAAATATCAGTTCTTGCTTTCATTTCTTTTGGGTATATACCCCGAAGTGGAATTGCTGGATTATGTGGTAAATCTGTGTTTAAGTTTTTAAGAAACTGTCACACAGTTTTCTATAGCAGCTGTATCACTTTACATTTTTATCAGCAATGCACAAGGGTTCCAATTTCTCCATATCCTTGCCAACACTTGTAAATTTGTTTTTGTTTATTTATTTATAGCAGCCATTCTAATGGGTGTGAGGAAGGTTATATTTTTAAATCAGTTAAATTCCTGGCAGTGACATTTCAAAATGATTTAAACAATGCAAATTGTGAAAAATAGAACTGTTTTCTGTCCTCCTGTATTATGAGCTTCTAACATTAATTCATTATTCAGCAAGCATTCATTGAAAGGGCATCCTTTGCATGCCTACCCCTCTGCCAGTGAAGCAAGGAGACATAAGCTAAACGATGATGCAGGCCTTTCTTCAGTAAGTTTGTCATTAAGTGAAAGTAGCTCAGTTGTGTCTGACTCTTTGCAACCATGGCCTGTATAGTCCATGGAATTCTCCAGGCCAGAATACTGGAGTGGGTAGCTTTTCCCTTCTCCAGGGGATCTTCCCAACCGAGGGATCGAACCCAAGTCTCCAGCATTGCGGGTGGATTCTTTCCCAGCGGAGCCACAAGGGAAGCCCAAATTTGTCATTAAAGCTGGGCATCAAAACATCCACAAATTCGGAAATTCCCTGGCAGTCCAGTGGTTAGCCCAGTCTGTGCACTCTCACGGCCAAGGGCTTGGGTTCAATCCCTGGTCAAAGAACTAAGATCCCACAAGCTGTGCAGTGTGGCCCCAAACAAATAGAACATCCACAAATTAGAGAACTGCATAAAATAAGTAAATAGGTAACTAATAAAGCACAAACTGTGTCCAGAGCACTGGTTGAGGGAACATAAAACACAAGTCAGGTCAGAAGAGCACGAGATCAGTGAGAGAATTCTGGAAGAGATGAATTCTAGGCCAGGGCTTCCTAGGAAACACACAGGCAGTTGCCTCCAATAGAGAGCAGTTTGTCTCAATACATACATGTAGAGGGAGGTGCAGAAAGGATCATTGTAAATTTCTAATGACCTCAGATTTCCATGTGGGTAATATGGCTCTTTTTTTTGAAGGTGAGAGGAGAAGGGGACAACAGAGGATGAGATGGTTGGGTGGCATCACCAACTCAAGTTTGAGCAAGCTCCGGGAGTTGATGGTGGACAGGGAAGCCTGGTGTGCTGCAGTCCATGGGGTCACAAAGACTCAAACATGACTGAGCGACTGAACTGACCTGAACATGACTTTCGGGGGAGTGGGGAATTTTGTTTTCTGACGAGTTTCCATGGGTAGTAAATGAATCTGGAGATAGGAGCTTGAGACAACGCAGGTAGGGGCCGGCATGAGCACAGGTGTAGCTGGAAAATGTGCCTACAGGGCTGGCAGGGTGAGAAATGCAGGCCTTGATGGGGAGAGTCAGCAGTGAACTTGGTCGAATTGCTCAGACCTCTTTTCTATCTTTGTAGAGAGCTGCAACAAAGTTCATTTCCACCTGCCCTACCGGTGGCAGATGTTTCTTGCCAACAGCTGGATGGACCTTCCATTCATGGAGGATATTGAGAAGGCCTTTTGTGACCCCAAAAACTGCAGGTAAGTTGGTGGTGGGTCTGGCTTGTGAAATCTACAACATCATCAAAGGAGACCCAAGTGCTGTGCTTATGGGAAGAAGAAAAAGCAGTCCTCCTTCAGAATCCCATTCAGGTTAACTCTTGAGATTAAAATGGCAAATGACTGCTGAGTTAATAAAGATGAAGGAATAAGTGGGCCAGATTTGAAGTCACTCAGAGCCTGGCTAATACGAGAGACTCTGGGAATATTTGCTAACTCAGGTGAAATAAACAGGGACACAAATATTTGTTCAGTTAATATTTGTCTGAACAACCAAATTCATAGGTTGGTTTGCAAACCTGTGAGCTCAGAAGAGCCTTTGGCTTAATTAATCTCATTGTTTGAGAAAATGATTTGAGTTATTTCATATAGTTCTAAGGTAGAATTTTGTTACATACTTTGGCATTTTATACCTGCCTCTATATTTGCTATTTTCTCTATCCTGGAGGTTTCTAAAAGGCTTCTTTATATTTCTGTTTCTGTTAGGGCTGATATGGGTGATGCTACCCATGACCATATTTATAAGCTGCATCCTACTTTATAAGGAAATACTTTAGGAGGGAAAATACAGACTTTTCACCTTCTTCAAATTTAGTGAATGTCTGGTGGAGAGTGTGTTGCTGTATTTTGCCACTAGAGGGTGGTGTCAGCCATTTTGTTTCTAGGTGTGTTTCTCGCACCAGGTAAATCTGAAGCAGGGTTTTTCAACCTTGGCGTTGTTGACTTTGGGGCCCAAATAATTATTTGGTTTGCTGGAGTATTTTAGCATCATCCCTGGTGTCTACCCACTACACGCCAGTTGTGAGAAACGAAAATGTCTTTTGACATTGTCAGTGTTTCCTGGGTCTAATATCACTCCTGGTTGAGCATTGCTGATCTAGGAGGTATTTTGCAGAGCAGTAACTCAAACTTTTTGGTTTCTGGAGCCCTCGATACTCTTAAAATGTACTGAGGATCCCAGAGATTTCAGTTTATGTGGATTTATAGCTATTGATATTTACCATGTTAAAAGTCACAACTGAGAAAAACTATTTATTGATTCATTAAAAATAATGATAATAAACTCATTTGTGTTAACATAACATTTAAAGATAATTATATATAGTTACATGCAGACATGAGCGTATGTAAGTATAACTATAAAAATAACTTTTCCAAAACCAAACCAAACCAAATTCACTGAGAAGAATGACATTGTTTTATATTTTTGCAAATCTCTTTATTGTAAAATCAAACATTGTGTAGCCTTGAAAAACTCCACTGTGTACCTGTGAGGGTATGAAAGTGAAAAAGGTGGGTAATGTCCTGATATTATTATGAAAATAACTTTGACCTTGCAGGAGACCCTGCAAAGGAGACCCTGAAAAGGGCTCGACCTATGCTTTGATAATGGAATTCTCCGGGCAAGGATACTGGAGTGGGTAGCCATTCCTTTCGTCAGGAATTCTTCCTGACCCTGGGATTGAATCCCAGTCTCCTGCATTGAAAGCAATTCTTTACCATCTTTGCCACCAGGGAAGCCCAACTATTTAAATAATGTATAATAATTGAAAAAACTGACCTACAGTGAGTTTCAGAGTTTCTGACGTTGAGCTAATCAGTTGTTTTCTTTGGGGAATATTTTTTGAGGGAAGAACACATTTTGTGATTCCATTAAATATATGGCAGGTTACGTTACCTCTCTGTATTTCAGTTTTTCTTTTGTGTGTAAGACCATAAGCTGTATAAAGGGAATTCAGAGACCCCTTTCAACTCTCAGTTTTTAATTCTTCCCTCTTATTAAGAAGACCAGAGTAGAGAAAACAGCCATTTTCTTCAGAGAAGCATTTTATTAATGCTAAACTTTCCCCTCTCAGCGTTTCTGTTGGCAATTATAACATCAGTTTCCAGAAGATGATTTGTGATCTTAATCCTGTCCGACGTATCTCCACACCTTCATCCGTCACAAAGCTGGCCAGTTCTCTCTTTACCACAAAATGGATTTGGTATTGGAGGGATGGAACTGACAAATGGGTTCCATATGGGGAGAAGGTGAGTACCATTCCTTCTTGTGGATACGCTTGTATAAACTTGACAACTTCAGAAGAATCTAGTAGTACAGTGTCTGACACCTATGTGATTACCCATGGAGCATGGATGTGGTAGAGAAAGTGGTGTTTTTTAATATTATACTCAGCAAGCATGTATTCCGACTACATTATAAAAAATAACTATTTTTAAGAAACTCCTTGATATATGAGCCAGCCAAATATCCCTCTTTCTTCATTACTGGGGACTGTGGCAGAACCTTGAGATAGCTTTCTATTCACTAGTCCATAAATGAGCAGAGACTACCCGTTTTAGCCAGAAAAGTAGGCAAGAGTGAGAAATCAGAAAACTGATACATATGGTTGCTAGGATTTAGTCAGAGTCTGTATTCAGATGAACTAGAAGGTTTAGACTAACCCCCACAGGGACATAGTAATAGGGGAGAGAAATTTAGACAGGCAGAGGTTCCGTCTAGTGTCCCTTCTTCCTTTTGATTCAGATGATTAAGCAGAGAGGGAGGTAGCTAACGTAGGCAATGAAATTAGAGTGATGAGAAAGAGAAAAGAAAAGAAAAGCAAGAGATGGAAATGAAGCCAAAGGCAAAAAAGGGATGAGGATATCCCAGCATAAGTTGCTGGGCCATACATTTGGTTCTGAGCTCCCAAGCTGCCAAAGCAATCAAAGAAATACAATCTACTACAAGATACCTGGGGCTTCCCAGGTAGTTCAGTGCTAGAGAACCTGTCTGCCAATGCAGGAGATGCTGGAGATGCCAGAGCTGCAGGTTCGATCCCTGGGTTGGGAAGATCCCCTGGAGAAGGAAATGGCAATCTGCTCCAGTAGGAGCTTGGTGGGCTACAGTCCATAGGGTCACAGAATCAGACACAACTGAAGCGACTTAGCACGCAGCACACAGTCAAGCTTAGTAGCACGCCTTGAGGGGCAGGAGTGTATGACCTGAAGGAATTGCCCAAGATGAGGGTGAGCCATAGCTCTAGAAAGCCAAAATCAAGGCTGTCATGTAGGCACAAGGCAAAGGTAACAAGACCTGGTTACTGAGACTGAGGTATAAATTCAAGTCTTGGAGAATATGTAATTGAAGGCTCTAGTGTTCAATCATTCACTCACTCACTCATTCAGAACTGGAGTTCTGAATGGGCTAGAGGAAGGTCCTGGAGATGGCTGGAGATTATATCTTTACATTTTGGGGGTGTTCCTTGCCTCATCACTCTCATTTGGACAGCGATACACCTATTGGATGGAGAAGGAAATGGGAAGCCGCTCCAGTATTGTTGCCTGGGAAATCCATGGACAGAGGAGAGTGGTGGACTACAGTCCATGGGGTGGCCAAGAGTCATGACTTAACAACTCAATAACAATGCATCCGTTGGAGTTTTACGTGCCTTCACTCCAGCTTTGAACTGTTCTTTCTCATTGTGTGATGAGACGATAGCTGTGATGGTCTACTTCATGACAACGTTTTGGATGCGGTTAGACATCTTGTACTGGGTACAAGTTGCTCTGTACACTTGGGTCATATTTTATGGAATATATAAATGGACTATTGCAAAACAGCTCTATTTTTCAGGCCTCCACCTAGGGTGTCATCAGTTTCAGTAACATAGACTCCATACAGTGGAGACTGAAGAAGGGTGTGACTTGACTCCACCCAGGAAGCCTTTACAGTCTGGTTTGGGCGGCAGGATGCATTCCTGTCCAAACCCCATGGCTGAAATAAAGTTAAGATATAATAAGGTATCGTGATGGGAATTTCTTAAAACCCTGCCCTGAAGTCTTCACCTTTTTATTTTTTAAACAGAGAGACAATGAGCAGGTTCCAAACATTGACTCTTCATACCTGGAGTCTCTTTTTCTATCCTGTCCGAGGGGAGTTGTGCCGTTTCAGGCGGGGTCACAAAACTACGAGCTGAGTTTCCAAGGTAAGTGTCTGCACTTGGCAGTGGCGCCTGTCCTTTGAATCTGGCCTGTGGCATCCGCGCAGGAATGGGAATAGAGCCGCGGGCATGCTGCACTCAGGACCGGGTTCTTTCTAGCACGGCAGGACCGGCGGGTGGGAGCCGATGGCGGTCCGAAGCGCTGCGCTGTAAGCCTTGACTGTGACGCCCAGTAGTTGGGAACAGCACCGGGCACCCTGTAAAATGTGGGGGATTGGATTACATAGCCTCTGTGGGCACTTCCGGTTCTGCCATTCTAAATTCCTTATTCTAGGTGGGCTGCTTCCCTGAGACAGATTTCAGGTGTTAACGACTGCAGGAGAGACCTTGGGACTGTGGGTCCTTCAGAATTTTAGAACCATGCTGTTCCTTTTAGGCTTCATCATCTAGGTCAATGCTTTTATCTGTCGCCTTTTCTAAAGACTGAGTTCTGCCATGTTTATTGGAGCCCCCATAAAAAGATCTGGTTACCTTCTGCCCATCTGCCTGTTGTGTTTAGTAAGAAACCAGGGCAGAAACTGCTCTCCCTCTGAATGTACTGTCCCATCGGCTGCCTCTGTGCCCCCTGCCCCCAAATCCCGCCCCCACCCCCACACCCACACCCTCGCCAGCCCCGTATATGGTCAGATACGTACCCTTTCAGGACTACCCTTATAGATGCTTAGAAAGAGATGAAGGAGACTTTTTCAACTCCTTGACATTCCCAGGTGGTACCCGAGATTTGGGCCCTGTACCAATTACTGTGTTAAGTCATGTAACTTTTCATACCTTTTCTTTTTTTTTGGCTATACCATGTGGGATGTGGGAGCTTAGCTCCCTAGTTAGGGATTGAACTTGTGCCCCACGCATTGGAAGTGCAGAGTCTTAACCACTGGACCATCAGGGAAGACCCCAAGTCACATAGCTTTGAGGGAACATTATACTAACTACAGTGGAAAGCATCCTGGCAGTACATATCAAGAGATATTAAAATATGCTTACTTTTTTATTCTCAGGAATCTTTCTAAGGAAATAATTCACAACAAGAAAAAAAAAAAGCTATAGACATAAAGGTCTTTATTAAAGCCTCCTTATAGTACTAAATAGGAATAGCCTGTGTACCAGTAGGATTGTGACTGAACACATTAAAGTATTACATTTCAGTGGAGTATTAGGTAGTTGTTAAAAATTATGATTGTGAAAACTGCCTTAAAAGCAAAATTTGATACTGCTAAATGAAGAAGGCCAAACCCCAAGTATATGTTTCTGTAATTAAAACAGAAATGAATATTTTTTCAGGAATGAATTTTTTAAAAATTTAATGTGTGTGGTACGTGCAACAATGTGTGCATATGGACCAAGACTAGAAAGCAATAGACGAAAATAAAAATTTCTTCTGTTGGGTGGTCAAATTAAAAATGGACTTAAATTAAAATTTTTTGCAGTGGTATTCTAGTGTTCTGACTGTTTAAAAAGGTGGTGGAGAGATGAAAACCAATATATCTTGTTCCTGAATCTGGAGAAATTTTAATCCCATATATTTGTTCCCTTGGTTCATAGAAGCCAGTCCAGAGAAGTTTTCAGTGTTCCAGCCTGTTTCCTTTCTATTTCTAATATGCTGTTTGTTCATTAAACTAATATTTGAGCTGTGTTGCCAGGCACTAATCTGAATGCTGGCAAACCAGGAACCTTCTGAAAATAATAACAGCTTCATGCAAGATGAAGCAATGTGATGAATCCCCAAGAGAATGGAGGGCTTGTGGGAGGGTGCCTGCTTTTATCTCAGGAGGACACTTTGGAAGGGAGTGGGCAGCCCATGCATGTGAAGGAGGTGTGTAAGAACTGAGGGTAGACATTGAAACTTAAATATTTTACAAGCTGGAAACGTCCAGAAGGTTTTGAGCAGAGTTGAGGCAGGATCTGAGTGCTCTTTTCCTTGTTGTTTGTTTTGTTGATGTGGATGTAAACCTATGGTGAGGCATAATTGGTACAATCAGGTATATCCATTTAAAGTGTCTAGTTGGATGAGTACTGACAAATGCATGCAGCTGCTATCCTAATCAAGATCTAGAACATTCCCATCAATCCAGAAAGTTTTCTCATGCTCCTTTGTAGTCAGTCTCCCCTCTGTAGCCAATTTACTTTCTGTCATTATAATTTAATTTAACCTATTCTAGAACTTCATATAATAGAACTTTGTGATGTGTACTCTTCATATGGTTGACTCCTCTCAGAATCAACTGAATTGAATATAGAATCATCTATATTATTGCATGTAAAGTGGTCCTTTTTCATAGCTGAGTAATCTTCCATTGCATGGATATACCATAGTTTGTTTAATCACTCACCTGTTGATGGATATTTGGATTGTTTTCACATTTTGCTTATTATAATAATGCTACTAGGCACAGTGAAATGTAAATCTTTGTGTGGATGTAGATTTCTCTTGGATAAATACTAAGAAGTGGATTTGTTGGATTGTATAGGTAGTATATGTTTAGCTTGGTAAGAAGCTTCCAAATTATTTTCCAAAGTGGTTGTGCCATTATATACTTTTACTAGCAATGTCTGATGATTTACTTTTTAAAGAACTCATGCTGCAGTGTAGACCCAGGTGTACAACCTGTTAAAAACAACATTTCACATTTGAGGTAGGAAAATATATAGCTACGATGTTCCAACCCATAATCACTGATGCCTGGTTGAGGACAGTGGTCATGGGTGATGTAATCTGGCTGCCCTAATTCTCTTTCCCACCTGACTTTGATTGAAAGATTTGATTAATTGCAATTTGCTCATTTACCTCTTTGTTTTCTGGGTCTTATACTAAGGCCAGTGAAGGATATTCATTTTTATCATGAGCAGTTTCCATCTAAAAGGATTTTCTCGATTCATGCATGTATAGTTGAGTCATGAATATTAGCTATGTTAGTAGTCTCTGAAAAATAAAGATAAATCATTTCCTAGGACCAATTCATGATTTGTGTTTTCTCCTTGTTTTTCTGTCTAAAGGGATGATTCAGACAAACATAGTTTCCAAGACCCAAAAGGATGTCATAAGAAGGCCAACGTTTGTGTCTTACTGGGATGTGGAGCAGGCAAAACGCGGACAAGAGTGAGTGTCTGAACACTGCTTGCTGGCACACATAGCGATGTTCAAGTCACTCATGAATCTGGACCCTGGTTTCTGAAATGTTCATGCTCACATACACTGCAATTTCCTTTTGCTTTGACTATGAGTAAGGTACTGGCTAAGTAGTACAGTGTGACTAAAAGCATTCTAGAGTAGGAAGTTTGTCTTTCCCTTAGGTTCACGAGGGACTTTGAGCAGACCTCTTACTCTGGGCTGTTTCCTCAGCTGAGAATGGCTGGCTGTGCCTAGGAAAGAATCAGATGCACCGTTAACTGTGTTTTTGTTCTGCTCTGGGTTCTTCTGAGTATCTTTAGTTTGGGAGGTTGAGGGAGAAATGGAGAGAAAAAAGGGATGTAGCAGCTGCCTAGTAAAGCCTTTGAGGAAAGATAAAGTTGATGAAAATGGATTTTTTGAAGGAAATTTTGTTACAAGGGATTCAGTGTGACAGCTCTGTCTGCTCATGAAATCCAGTCAAAAACTACATTGCTGGGACTTCTCTGGGGGTCCAGTGGCTAAGACTTCATGCTCCCACTGCGGGGACCTCGGTTTGATCCCTGGTCTGGGGACTAGATCCCACATGCCACAGCTAAAAATCCTGCATGCCGTGACTATTTGGTGCAGCCAAATAAATGTAAAGTAAAATGAACTGAGAAAACTGTTTGTGGGTGGTTGTGGAAAGAAGTAGCTTGAATACAATACTTTGGCCACCTGATTCGAAGAACTGACTCATTGGAAAAGACCGAGATTCTGGGAAAGATTGAAGGCAGGAGGAGAAGGGGACAACAGAGGATGAGATGGTTGATGGCATCACCGACTCCATGGATGTGAGTTTGAGCAAGCTTCGGGAGTTGGTGATGGACAGGGCAGCCTGGCATGCTGCAGTCCGTGGGTCACAAAGAGTCAGACATGACTGATTGAACTGAACTGAGCTTAAATCCCGCTATCACATACCCAGAGGAGACATGGCTTTAGGATAGAATAAAGGCTGTGAGTGCTACTCTGAACAATCTGAAGAGAAGTGAATGATAGCATTTTTGATGAGCACCTTACAACATATTACTTGAATCTGTTTTGCACTATACCAGTACAGTATGACGGAGAAGGCAATGGCAACCCACTCCAGTGTTCTTGCCTGGAGAATCCCGGGGACGGAGGAGCCTGGTGGGCTGCCGTCTATGCAGTCACACAGAGTTGGACACGACTGAAGTGACTTAGTAATAGCAGCAGTAGGACAGTATGAAAATCAGAGCTTAACATATAAATTGGGACCAGCTTCTTTCATTCCAAAAGAATTTTCATTTTATGAAAGGAGGTTTTTAAAGAGTTTTTTCCTTAAAGCATTTTTTAAAATGTAATTTTCTCATAATGGAAAATATCAAACTTAAAGAAAATTATGTGATAAACCCCTATGTACATGTTAGGGGTTTTCTATTTCAGGGTGGAGAACCCTCAAATGTATGGTTCCTCTGAATACAGTTCATACAGGAAAGACAGGATTCTTTTCCCTATACCACTAAAGTATTTAAATATTTATCATTTGGCAAAGAAGCTGTAAGACAAACTTTACTTTTTTAAAAATATTACTTTTTGGCTATGCCTCAAGGCATATGGGATCTTAGTTCTCCCACCAGGGATCAAACCCATGTCCCCCTTGTATTGGAAGCATAGATTCCTAACCATTGGACCACCAGGGAAGTCCCCTAGCCTTACTTAACGCTAACACATTAGGACTTAGAAAATTTCCAGAGGAACCTCAGGTTAATCGAAGCACAGAAAATCACTTGGGTGTATCAAACAGGGAGCCAGATGAATTTCTTTCTCTCTCTTGTTTCTAGCCATCCGCAGGGGCAGACCTCGTCAGAACCTTACATCAAGATATATCTTCCCAAACCGGACACAAGCGTCTCATTCTCAAATGACTTTGAGGTACTGGCTTTTTACTTTGTAGTGGGTGAATTGTTTAAAGATGGAACAAAGTACTTTGCTACAAATGTGTGTAGTTGAATGAATGAATGAGAGAAAGAAGTGAATGAATCACTCCTGCAAAACTCTTGAAACAAGATTCAAAGGCTAACATCCAAATGGTGACTGTGTCATGTACCACTTTTCCCAAAGGAGAAGGGCACCTCATTGTTTCCAGAGTTCTGGCACACACGATCGCCTTGGGACAGATGTTCATGACAAACTTGTAAAATAGATATTTGCTTCTCTACCTTACAGACGAGCAAACTGGAACTCACAGTAAGAGCAACTTGTCCATTAATTGGAGTTAAAAAACAGGTTTCTATGGCACTCAAAGTGGGCCTCAGCTCATCACCTTACCTGGTTGGGGCAACCCTTTTTAAAAACATTTTATTTAGTTATTTATTTTTGGCTGTACTGGGTCTTTGTTGTTAGTTTTCTCTAGTTGTGGCAAGCAGGGGCTAATCTCTAGTTGTGGTACACAAGCTTCTCTTTGCAGTGGCCTTCTCTTGTTGCAGAACGTGGGCTCTAGGGCATGCAGGCTTCAGTAGTTGCAGCACACGAGTTCAGTAGTTGTGGTGCCCGGACTTAGTTGCCCTGCAGCATGTGGAATCTTCCTGGACCAGGGATTGAACCCATATCCCCTGCATTGGCAGGTGGATTGTTAACCACAGGATCACCAGGGAAGTCCTGGGGCAAGATTCTTCCTGGATCATTTCGCCACATCAGAGGCTAGCTTTGGGTGCAGGCACCTCTGCTTGGGTTCCTTGGGTACCTGCATTGCCTCTCCCCCTGCACTGGCTTTAAACAAAGAACTCACCAGGTCACTGGACTGAATCACACACCTGGGGGTTGGGGAGGGGAGGAGTGTGTGCTCCGTTTGCCTTCAGGCAGTGCTCTGTTAGCCTTGGACAGAGGGGCTCTGGGCCATCTAGTTCATCACTGGAATAAACTATCAGATGTGGAAACTCTAAGCCAGCTTATCCTACCTGCTGTCAGAGGCCTGGCAAGGATACTCCATGGCATAGATAGCCACACATAAGGACATGTGCTGTGCTAAGTCGCTTCAGTCGTGTCTGACTCTTTTCGACCCTATGGACTATAGTCCTCCAGTCTCCTCTGTCCATGCGATTCTCCGGGCAAGAATACTGGAGTGGGTTGCCATGCCCTCCACTAGGGGATCTTTCTGACCCAGGGATCGAACTCCCAGTCTCTTGGATCTCCTGCATTGGCAGGCATGTTCTTTACCACTAGCACCACCTGGGAAGCCCACAGAGGGACATGATGTGAAAGTGAAAGTCGCTCAGTCGTGTTTGACTCTTTGTGACCCCATGGACTATACAGTCCATGGAATTCTCCAGGCCAGAAGACGAGTGGGGAGCCGTTCCCTTCCCCAGGGGATCTTCCCAACCCAGGGATCGAACCCAGATCTCCCGCATTGCAGGCAGAGTCTTTACCAGTTGAGCCACAAGGGAAGCCCCATCATGCCTTAAATATTTCCTGCTTCACATTTACATATTTTTAAATTTCTTTCAGTTGATTGAAATCCATAACAATACTCCAGAATATGTTGAAGTAAGTGATCATTTTAAAGCTTCCATGAGAAATTTCAGGATTGAAAAGATAAAGAAGGTCCAGAACCTACAGCTCTTGAAGGCTTTTGAAAGGTGAGTGGCCACCTTATCAGGCTTCCCTTGACATAAAGTTTGAAAGGATTAGTGAAGACCTGTCTTTGAAGATTTATATTCACTTTTTCATTGTAGTAGTCAACAGTTTCTTCAGTCTGTAGTTGTGTTTTTATAGTGTAAGCTCAAACGTCTCTCTTTCAGTTTTAGCTTTACAATTAATGCTTTCATGTGTCTGTCATTTAAAAGTTTGTATGTATTTATTTTTTTATAACTATTGCCTTAATGTTAGTAGCTCCATTCTGAAAGCTGATGGAATACAATTTTAAGATAATTAGACTTTAGTTGGGATTTGCATTATTAACTGGAGTGGGTGAGGAATGTTCTCCGTGTTAAGTCTCACGTTTTCCATATTAGCAAGAAAAAGGAGATGAAGAGAGACGAGCAAATCCTATTTTGTGCAGCAAGACGCAGCAATGTGATGTCTATCTGTAAGAATAATTTTGACTGGCTCTCACATGGAAGTCATGATGCCAAATATGGAAAAGGTTTGTATGGAATAGAGAAACTGAACTAGTAGAGCCAACACTCAGCTCTACTATACACGATCCTATTATGAGATATATGTAATTATTTTGTATTAACCAGCACCTCCAGGCTTTTGCATTCCTAGAGAAAAATAAGCTCATGTTAATCTGAAATTTCCAAATTAGAGTGGGAAATCACTGTGGGACTTGATTCTTGCACTTTAGCCCTGCTTCCTTCCTGTCTTCTGTGTTTTATGGGAAGGGTGGAGTACAGAGACCAGAGCACCTCATATATCTTGCAGAGTCTTCCCTCTTGTTGATGACTTTGTCTACCATTGCTACTCAGTTCCGGCCATGGCTCTTCCTGACCTATGTCCATCCCTTCTCTTGCCACTGATGGGTTCTAATCAAAGATAGAGATGAGGTCTTTTCCCATCATAGGCCATGCTGGTTACACCAAATCTTTTCAGCTCTTTCTTTTTGTTCCTAAATTTCTTCATGCAACTCAAAATCCAGAAACCCAACCAAACAAAAACCAAAGAATCACTCACCTTAAGGCAACAAGTAATAGTTTATCAATTTCAATTAATTTTTGCACAGAATATCAGATTTTGCAATATAGACTCCTTTCCTTCAAAGGGCAGAAAGACATTTGCTGTTGTTCAGTTGCTAAGTCATGTCCAATTCTTTGCAACCGCATGGACCAAAGCATGTCTGGCTCCTCTGTCCTCACTGTCTCCTGAAATCTGCTCACACTCATGTCTATTGAGTCGGTGATGTCATCCAATCATCTCATCCTCTGTCGCCCCATTCTTCTGCCCTCAGTCTTTCCCAGCATCAGGGCCTTTTCCAGTGAGTCAGAGCTTCGCATCAGGTGGCCAAAGTAGTAGAGCTTCAGCTTCAGCATCAGTCCTTTCAATGAATATTCAGGGTTGATTTCCTTTAGAATTGATTGGTTTGCTTTCCTTGCAGTCCAAGGGACTCTCAAGAGTTTTCTACAGCACCACAATTGGAAAGCATCAATTCTTCAGTGCTCAGGCTTTTTTGTGGTCCAACTCTCACATCTATACATGACTACTGGAAAAACCATAGTTTTGATTATATGGACCTTTGTCAGCCAAGTGCTATCTTGCTTTTTAGTGTGCTTTCTAGGTTTGTTATAGTTTTTCTTCCAAGGAGCAAGCGTCTTTTAATTTAATGGCTATAGTCACCATCTACAGTGATTTTGGAGCCCAAGAAAATAAAATCTGTTACTGTTTCTTTTTCCCCATCTATTTGCCATGAAGTGATGGGACCAGATGCCGTGATCTTAGTTTTTTGAATGTTGAGTTTTAAGGCAGCTTTTCCACTCTCCTCTTTCACCCTTGTCAAGAGGTTATTTTGTTCCCTTGGCAATAATAAAAATAAAAATAGGAAATTTTGTCAGGAAATGGTTGTTGCTCTGGTGAATATGGTGATATCAGTGATTATCAGAGGTTGTCTTGTAGTTGAGGACTATAGATTGAGTGTCTGACCAGTTCTGCCAGGGTCAATTGTTGGCTCACGTCACATCTCTCATCTCTCCCTTTTCCTTTCCCCAGGACCTTCCCACAGTAGTAAATGTGTTTCTTCCTTAAATTGTACACAATATAAAATGGCCTCTGTTGGAGTATCTTTGGTTTATTAGTTACAACTCAACTTGCTTGCATGAACTGGACCACTGTGATATCAACAGTTGGTCATTCTACCCAGTGGCTCAACACTGTACCTGTGAATTCTGTAGAGTTGCAAATGTTTGTGTTAATTCAGTAACAGAATTAATTCAGGTTAGTTAATTCAGGTTATACACTGTATTCAAGTGTACTTGCATAATAAAAATTTTCCTAAGTACAAAGAAAAGTTATTAGTATCAGTAAGGTATTGCTGACATATACTTGGTCAATGCCTGTCACCTGATTATGTGTAAATAATCTTATAAATGACATACCTTCTTTTATAATAATTCTTAACCTTTTTCTTCTGATTATTTCTAGGAATCTACTTCACAAAAGATGCCATTAGTTCCCATAAAAATTGCCCGTTTGATTCCAAAAACATCGTTATGTTTGTAGCCCGAGTCCTGGTTGGAAATTTCATTGAAGGCCATATGAGTTACCAGAATCCCCCTCCGCGGTATGACAGCTGTGTGGATACAAGATTGAATCCCTCTGTTTTTGTCATCTTTCAGAAAGATCAGATTTACCCAGAATATGTGATTGAATATACCGAAACAGAGAAACCCTGCGTGATTAGTTAGAAATGATGGCTACAGCGTCATAAAGGATGCCATAACCGCTCTGTTCACTTACTGAACCCAATCTCCCAGAAGGATAATAGTTAAACTTACGTCTTCTCTCCTCTAAATGCCTTGGATTAGTGGTTCCCAAACTTTGCTGCACATTTGAATCATCTGGTAAGCGTTAAACAACTCCACTGTCCAGGGGACTTCCCTGGTGATCCAGTGGTTAAGACTCCGCACTCCCAATGTAGGGGGCACAGGTTCAATCCCTGAACTAAGATCTGGCATGCTGCACAGTGCATGCAGCCTTAAAAACAAAAATTCCGATGTCCAGATTACACCCCACCCCAACTAGATCACTTTTTTGGGGTTGACAGCCAAGAAGATGATTGAAATGTGTCATAAGTTTGGGAATCACTCATTACCTTAGATGTAACTGGTAAAGACTCACTTCTACAGCTTCTGTTAATGCAGCAAACTTTCTCCCCCAACTACTCTTAGTTGATTGCATGATTTAGTTTTGTTTTGGTTAAATTAAAAGAAAATTTATTTGGGAAATTTAAGTGAAACCTAAAAATTCCTATTGAAATGAGGATATAAGACAGTACAGCCTTGGAAAATTGTGGAAAGCTGGGGGAAAATACATAGGAATATAGTTGTGGGGGGAGGAAACATAAGGGCAATTTAAATGCTAGCAAGATATAACTGCAGTACTGTACCTTATCTCTGTGGTGAAACTGATTTGAGGGCATGCATTTCTTTATCTCTACGTTTATTTAGGGTACTCCATCCAAGTTGACGCTTTATGAAATGCAATAAAAAGAGCTGTTAAGTATGGCTCAGAGCGCAGCAACCAACTGTAATTAACTGCCCATTTGGGCAAAGTAGACATTTATATTCTAACTAACAGAGAAGGCTTTTTTTCAGGTCAAACATACATGAAGTGCTGGTATTTTGGGTGGACCGAGTTGCAGTAACCAGATTCACACAATCACGACTGATAAATCCGAGTGCTGTTGTAGTCGTTCGCTATGTTAGTTGAGGCTCACCAAGCAATTAGGGCCATTCTACTAAAGGATGGGCCCCCTAAGGAGGTGAGGTTAGTTTCCTAGGGAGACAGAATCAGAACGAAGGGAACAGTGCCGCAAACAAGCCTTGCGCCTGCGAGGGGCTTCTTTTTCTAAATATAACAGATTGTGTGGAATTGTAGCACAATCAGTTTTTAGAGCAGCTGAGGTACCTGGACCAAGAGTTCCTTTCTTATTATGAATGAGGGTTTTCCTTCCAATTTTCAACATTCCATACCAGTCGCCAACATTTCATGTTATAATTACTTCCAGCAGATATGTTATAAAAATTAATTAGCATTAGGGTTGATTTTATATTAGGTTTTAGATCGGTGCAAAGATCTCTACAACTCTCTGACTTAAAAGGGCTCCAACAGGGACTTACTTCCCTGGCAGTGCAAAGGTTACGGCTTCAAGCTTCCACTGCATGGGGCCACGGGTTCAAACCCTGGTCAGGAAACCAAGATCCCACATGCCACGTGGCTTGGCCAAAAATGTTAAAAAACCTTAAAAAAAAAAAAAAAAGGGAAATCTACAGATTGTCGAAATGGAGAAAATGAGGAAGTACTATATTCTTGCAGGCGAGCTGTAGGTCATACACGAATGTCTAGTGAGACATTCTACATTCGTATAGGGTGCAGAGTAATTCCTTATTGTGAGCAGCTGCCCAGTACTGCCAGATCGTCAGCATACTTGCCTCTCACATACTACATGCCAGTATCGCCCTCCCCCATTATGATGGCAGCCACAAACCTTATCAGATCTATTCACCATTTTCAGAGCAAATAATTTGTATGATAACATCCCCTTTGCTGTCCTGAGATGACTTAAATACTACGATCTACATGAATTTTTTTTTCTTAAGAAATCAATTTATTGCCCTCACTATTATAATGGAGAAACAGAAGGCAAGAAGTTTGTAATGATGATAAAATGAATATCAATATGTAAATGCTCCAGATGACCACGCTATACGACATCATGAAATAGATATTTATTTCTACTGAAAATGAACAGGTTTGGATTTAAGAGTCGATTGGAGGCTACTTTCTATAAAGAAGTACTGGAAAGATTAGAAGTATAGGTGACACCAAAATGAAAACCAGTATTAGGGTAAGTCATAACAGACCATATACCTTTTCTGCATGTAGTTAGGGGAAGAACGAAATTATCTTAATTGAAATAAGTTTAGCAGGACAAGACAAATGACAGATTGTCTAAGAGGAAAACAAGAATTATATTCTCTCAGGCGAGCTGTAGGTCCTACATAAGTGTCTAGTAGGACCTTAAAAAGTCGTATAGAGTACCGAATAAGTCTTCTTTGTATGGGACTAACCCATACACCATAGGGACATCTCTTATCCCTAGCCGGATCCACCCAATGCCAGTAAAAGTCCGCAATTATTACAAAAACAACAACCCATCAATTTCCAAAAGACCACAATGAGACTCACTCAGTTAATATCTAGCATCTTTAGATTAGCTTACTAGCCTTCATAAGGAGTCCTCCTATAGATTACATTGGATGCTTGCCTCCCAAATCCCTGGTTTTTAAAACACTTTGCATCTTGCTTTGATCATTTTTAGCACCTGTCTGACTTAAAGTTGTCCGCTTTTCGCATTAGAGTGTAAGCTCCATGAGAGCCGAGTCAACCTGTCCTGTTCACTGTACCACACTGCATACCCAGCTGAGTGCTTGATACACTGGATAAATTTTGTTGAATAAAGTTCAGCTTCTTATAATTCAGCAGCTGAGTTGTATTTCTTCTTGTTCTCCTCCCAACTCCATTTGAGATTGTCTAATACAAGGAAATAAATATTAATTTTGGCTCCACTGCGTGTACTTGCTCTATTTCCAGGTATCTCCTAAAATGTAATCACCTGCAGACACCTGTTTTTTCAGTGGGGGGGTAAAGGATGTGTGTTGCCCCTTCCAGCTTCATCATTCCAGGACTCAGTGACCAAGGAGCCTTTAGCACACTGCCAGGGGAAGACTGGGTGGTGGTGATGGAGAAGCCCGCAGTGGGTTGGTACATCTTGTTTAGGGGAGAGGGAGACAGTGGGAACTGCTGACACCCCTTAGGAGTGGGAACAGGGCCAGTGGGAGGCAGCTAAAAATGTAAATGATCAGCAGAGTTGTCCAATTAGTAACGCCTTCAAAAGTCCTCCACTTTTTTTTTTTTTTAAGGAAGGAGTATTTGTATTTATTTTGGTGGCACTGGGTCTTTGTTACTGCGTGTGTGCCTTCTCTAGTTGCAGAAATCGTGGGCGTCTCATCACATTGGCTTCTCTTGTTTTAGAGCACCGGCTGTAGGTGCATGGGCTGAGTTGCCCCAGGGCATGTGTAATCTTCCTGGACCAGGGATCCAACCCATGTGCCCTGCATTGGCAGGCAGTTTCTAGGGCTTCCCAGGTGGTGCTAGTGGTAAAGAACCTGCCTGCCAATGCGGGAGACAAAAGAGACACGGGTTCGATCCCTGGAGAAGGAAATGGCAACCCACTCCAGTATTCTTGCCTGGAGAATCCCATGGATAGAGGAGCCTGGCAGGCTGCAGTCCAAGGGGTCGCAAAGAGTTGGACACGACTGAAGTGACTTAGCACTAGCACTTCTTAACTGCCAGGAAGTCCCACCCATTTGTTTTTAATCACAAAGCTTTGGACGGAGACAGAGAACATCTATATGGCAGCACATGTTGCTCACTTGTGTCTGACTCTTGGTGACCCCATGGACTGTAGCTTGCCAGGCTTCTCTATCCATGGGATTTCTCCAGCCTAGAATACTGGAGTGGGTTGCAACTTGCTCCTCCAGGGGATCTTTCAACTCAGGGGCTGAACCCGCGTCTTCTACACTGGCAGGCTGATTCTTTACCACTGAGCCACCTGGGAAATACGATAGCATTCAGTTCAGTTCAGTTCAGTTGCTCAGTCGTGTCCGACTCTGCGACCCCATGAACTGCAGCACGCCAGGCCTCCCTGTCCATCACCAACTCCCGGCGTTTACCCAAATTCATATCCATAGATATGATTAAAGTGAAGGTAAAACTGCCATTTGATTTGGACATCAATGGAAATAAAATAATATATAGCCAACCCATCGCTGTTAAAGTGCCCACACTAGAATATATAGAAGTGATATCAAGCCAAGCAAATGTTTTGAGTTTTTCCATTTAGTTATATGTTCTATTTATTTATTTGTCATAGCAGGCTCTCAATTTTTCAGAAATGTTTGATGTTGCTACTCCCCAAGGTTCGATCCTCCCACCTCTGCTTTTCTTTATTTGTGCTGAATGAGCTTATCAACTGTCAAAGCTCCAATTTCCTTATACTCTGATGACACTCAAATCAATATTATCTTCAATCTTTCTTAAGCTCTTGACCTGTAAATTCAACTGCCCACTGAGCATCTTGCCATGGACCATCCACTGCAAACTCAACACAATAAAAATTAAGATAATAATCCCTCAGCTGTTTCTCTTCTGTTTTTTTCTTAATCCTGTCTTGGTTTTCTAGAAATCCATTCTTTATTACGGGTAGAGATCTTTCCAAAACATCTATCCCACATTAGATGTGTTCAGGAAAATGACAGGTACTTTTGTTAATTATGAAAATAATGTTAGGATTATGTAGGGAAATCTACCATTTTTAAAAGTCATGCCTAACGAAATATTTAGGATTGAAATATCTAGAAATATCTACAAATTGAAATTTACAAATTCTCAGACAAAACAATCAGGCACATAAAATAGGACAAAGTGTTGAGATTTTATAACTTGAAGAAATCGATATATATGGGTGCTTATTTCACTATCTTCTAATTTCCTGCTTGAAAAATTGTCTACTACTAATTAAAAAAAAAAAAAAACACCTATCCTGGGACTTCCCTGGTGGTATAGGGTTTAAGAATCCGCCTGCCAGTGCAGGGGACAATGGTTGGATCCCTGATCTGAGAAG